GCCCTTTGCCAGTGACCTGGACCCACCCCACCCAGCACACCTGTCTCTTATTACCTTAACGAGCTCCACGTTGTAAATAGCAGCAGCAGCTGTTCAAAGCAGGAAAGAAAAAAAAAAAAAAAAAAAAAAACAAACTAAAATAGTCCTGTAACCTGTATCTACCCTTTGGGATGAGTTGGAACTTGAAACTTTGTTCAGTTGAAAGAAAAAAAGTATTTTCAGACTAGGTTTTCTCTGCTTGTGTCGGCTCTTTCTTTATGCACTCTGTTTTTCAGTCCTTCAAGTGTAAGGTTTTTATTCTATCTCTTTGTATCCTGACTCATACATATATACAGGACTGAAAAATACCCCCAAACATTTTGAAAATTCAGGAAAGGATTCCTTTTTTGGGCAACTCTTAAAAACAGGAATAACATTTAAATACATACAATCAGAAAACTGCTTTAATAAGCCTTTAACAATGTGTAATTCAAGATCAATGTTTTGGTTTTCATCCAGCAAGAAAGACAAATTTATTTATCTACTTACTTCACATTAGACTCCAAACAAACATTGGAGTAAGTATTTATGAATCTCGTTTAACCAATGACAACTCTATATATGCATGTTACGGTCACTGACCTCTAGGGGCTCTCCTTATGAGAGAGTTTTTTCTTTGCGTTTCAGTTCCACCTGGCTGCTACAGGTGTAATGTGTTGGAGCTCGTCAGCCACCCCATAAAGAGAGCCAGACCAGAGATGTCAGGCCCCTTTTTTGTCTCCCTGGGCCTTGATCTGAAGGGATCATGTTGGTGAACTGACTTTGAGATTTGGGATAACTTTGCCGTGAGCTTTTGTGTGAAACTTAAAGTGTTTATAATTTTGTTTTCTTCACAGTGGAAGCTGGTAGGGGTTCTCTGCCATTTTGTTTAACCGTTTTTCTCCTGTTTATTGGTTAGCCAGGGAGTCCAGGTTTTGTACTTTGTTTTCAGTCCTTTTCTAGACAGTGTTTTTACTTTATAATTAAAAGGGGGATGTTTTGTTTGTTGTTTTGGCCTTGGAGACCCTGAAGCTAAAAGCTTCCCTGTGTATGTTTATTGTGACTTTATGTTGAAATATAAATTAAATTATCTTTTTTCCTACTGAAACCAACTGCTCAGGGTACCTTATTTTGTGTTAGACCCAGTGCCAATTTTTACCCTTGGTGGTCTTGGGGGAGGGGTCGTAACAATGCACTATACATGTTATGGTTTTATGGAACACACAGTTTTGTCAGTTCAGTCTCATCCTTGAGTTGTTTTCCAGCTTCATTTATGTGTTAAATAAGCAGCTGATGTTAGCGAAGCAGTACTTTATTGACGCAAGAAAAATGTGCGTGGTATTTTGATTTTGAGGTTTAGTTAGATGCTTTTGAACAAGGGGCCTTGAAATGCATGTGGTGAATGATATTTTCAACAGAGAGGAAGTATGATTAATTTGTCCCTGGTAGCCCGAGATGGAGAGCAAGGTAAGCCTCTTTTGTTTCATAGCGGAGCAGAGGAGGCAATACTTGAAAAAACAAGACTTTCATTTTGCTTTCATGGATCAATTCAGCGCCAATTTAATTTCTGTAGTTTATTAAAAAGTTCCTTTTTCAGTGTTATAAATGAGTGGTGCGCCAAGGATTGTTTCATTTTCACACCAATTAAGCGAAGAAACTTCTCATCCTCAGCTTGATGGTTACAGTTTATTCTGTATCTAGCAAATTATCTTCTGTGGGAAAACAATTGGGAAACAATTGATTCAGTTTTTCTTTATTTATGTATTATGATAACAATATTGAAATAATTTGCCTACTTTAGTCATATTATGTTGTTGCATTAAATGCGTACTAAAACTGTATCATCTGTGGAAAGACTTTTTTTTATAAGAATCATCACATTATTACCAATATGACCACTCATATCTAAAGCTGATAAAATGACTAAAGTTAAAGAGATTTTTTGAGTAGTATTGATCTTGTGTTTAAAGAACTAACCAGTGTGAAAATCCTCTTAACTAAAGCTTTGCTTCAACCTGATTTGAGCCCGTTTGTTTCTTCTACTTTTGAAATTTATGCAACATGCATTTGTAAATTCAAAACTATTCTAAATCAGTGGCTTCTTATCCGTAATTTTTATTCTTTCTGGCTTACATTACTTTTCCATAAAGAGTGAAAAATCTTCAAAAATTCTGATGGTATTGATAGAGCTGTCAATTTGACTAATGAAATTCACTCTTTGATGATGGCTTTGATATCTAAGGTGTTTTGTGTCACTTTAAGGTGTAATGAAATGTGCCAATGGGGTCATTCATTTGGCAAACGCTTAATCACGGTTGACAGTTTCTCATTTCATATTTTCAGAACGATAGCATCTAATGTCAATCATAATTAATCTGAGGTTTGTACAACCCGCCGTATTAATTAGTGATTGGTTGAGGACGTGCAAATGAAACAGTCCATCAAATGCTCTTTCTCTGTTTCAACATTTAAAATGATTTTTCAAGTGAATTTTGAACCATATATTCTCAAAGTCTCATATGGATAACATGAACCAACAACCAGCCCAGCAGCAATCAGTCTGAGAACATTCTAGGTCTTTGGTGACAGAGCAAAGCTGTGAAGGAACACGCATCCCAAAAGGAAAAACTGAAAAGTGGTCGGTTGAAAGCCAAAGATTTCTGGGTCAAAAAGGAGATAAAATGTTATATCTTCTACATCGCCTCCAAGTTTAAAGTTTTACTTTTAAAACAAATCTTTTTCCGACACCTAACTTTAACAAATGCAGCAAACCTGTGCACTTGTAAGTAGTTATTCAAGGTTTATGTTCACACATTGACATATCCTTCATTTATGAGTTGGCACCTTTGGGGAAACTGCAATATAGCAAAGGATTTAAACCTATATACACTGTACTCGCACCGAATAGAATAAATGAGTTCTTTGGCATCATGTAATGCCAGGTCAAATTAAATATCCAATGCCTGCTCTAAAGGTTGGGAAGAATAATAGACAGGGTGTCCCTCCACTTTTCAAGGTCTGGACTGATTTGAGTGAAGCTGTTCTAAGCTGTTGGCTCACAATCAAAAGGAGAGTAGATATAATGCTTGACTTATAAATGGGATGGCTCTTAAATCTCAGCATTACAGACTGAGAGTATTACGTTAAAATTTTAAATGTCACTGGGGATATGCGGAACGTCAAAAAACTGAAAATTGTAACTATTCACAAATTTTTTTGAGGGTCCAGTTCTCTATAATTTTTCAATTAAATTTAATAAATTGTATCTATTGGAAATTTGAGGTACGAATTTGAGTAATCTGGGAAAGATGTATGAAGCAAAAATCTTGACGTTTATGGCGGAACTTCTAGTAGTTTTCCACCCTACTGACAAGTGCATTCTTGGGTCAGCTCAAGCATCAAACAGACAATTGTAGTGACCCTAATAACCAAAAATA